GAACAGCTGTTTCTTTAAAAACACTGACACTGCTCATACTAGATTATTGCTAGTTTCCACCATTGTATTGAAGAGTGTAAAAGCATCTCTTTTTATGCATTGATCATGCCAAGAATAGTAATGCATTAATTATACATTTAGATGATGCGCTATGTTGGTATATTCCATGCTGATGCTGGATTCAAGATTATACCTTGYGATCGATATTCCCTGGAAAAGAATGGTGCAAAAATAATTGCAACGGACCATTGGGACAAGAACGACAAGCTTCCATACCTGTGTGGGTGTATTGCTGAAATGACGGAGGAGGAAGAGAARTGTTTACTGCGGCCAGGGGAAAATGACTTCAGTATTATGTTCTCTATCAGAAAGAATAAATCACAGCTCTGGCTAGGACCTGCAGCATACATTAATCATGGTATTTACAGATAAATCTTGTTAACATCTAGTGCTGTATCTTGTGATATTTTTAATGGTGATAGTTATCAATAGCGTTGTTATAGGCGAATAATTTGTTTACATTTTGGTTCATTAACATATCCTAAGCATAAGGATATAACGTTTTAACCTAACTATCAGTAAATCAGCACTGAATATTGAGAAACAACATAGCACAATATGCTTTCCACGCAATTTTGAGCTATCTCATATGAAATACTTGTTGCGTAAAACGGTTTTAAAAACTCCAATTTTTAGAGAGATTATATGAGCTAATTAGCGCTTTTGTTACTCAGAATCTTTGAACGCTAATATCTCATAAACTATTCCATGTAATGACCTCAAACTTTCGTAGTTGATAGTTCTTAATAAGCCCTTTTACATTATAAACTTATTTTACAGTTTTCTTTAATTTAAACTTTATGCTAATTAGCAAAATTTTGTAAACAAAGATCCACCTATTATCATTGTTAGTGATCATTACAAAGTACATTATGTACTGTGAAATTCATTTATGTAATAAAAATAAAAATATGTAACTAAAAAATTTTTTTTTTTTAAACCAGTCATAAACCTGTCATTTTGTCTGTCTTCTCTTCTGTCTTTCACTTGTAAAAAAATGAAAAGTTGATGGATTTCTATTTTGACCTACATGTACATATGTAGGTAAATGTATAGTGTTTATTTCATACAGTGCTGTAGTTCAACACATGAGCGTGCAAGGTTTTTTCTGGACACTTTTTCTATGACTTCAGTTCAGTGAAGCATGCTAAAAATGCTCTGGGACTTGATTTTAATAGCACAAGAGAAGCAAACAGCAGTCACAGGAACAGGAACAATTTAATTGTTGAGATGTAATTTATAAGTAGTTAGAAAGCAATTATGCTAATAAGTTATTTTATTTTGTTTTTTTCAGACTGCAGACCAAATTGCAAGGTTAGTTCGTTAGTGAATAAATCATAAGAAAAAATTCTGTGCTTTTGTTAT